GCTGAAGGGAATGAGCATGTTAGTGTCTACTGTATGTCAAGTACCAAACTAGGAATCTCTTTTTTTTTATTTAGTTCTCATACCTGACCCTCCCTATAAAGAGTAGTTAATTATCACTCTCACCTTTACAATGAAGAACTGTTAAATAATGTGCCAGAGTCAGAAAACCAGTAAATAAGATGAAAATTCAGGCTTGTCTAATGCCAAGGTGTATACATTGTTTTATACTCAGCATTGCTACTCCACACTAATCCTACCGAGGAGCTCAGATCTAGACCAAGGCATACCCATTGGGAAGAACATATCATTTGCAGATCATCCCTAACCTGGTGCACACTCTTCATGTTAGGCAGGTTCCTGGATTACCCTGGAGGTCTAGATTCTTCCTGCATGACTCTGAAGATGGACTTAGTTCTGTATTCAACTTGGTTTTCTTTATTTTTGTATTCAGAGTTAACACTAAACAATTAGCACTACCTCCAAAACTAATTAAAAAGCGATCCTCTAGAGTAAAGATCTAGAGTCCTTAGTTGAAAGTTACACAGTTTATTTTCTGTTTGTGTAATACATATAAATAATTTACAAAAAGAAAAAATATGAATGCTAATGTAAATATTAAAGATTAAACCAGCTAGTGGGTAAGTGGCTGGCAGGCAGAATGTCCCAAGGTTATCATCAGATTTTCACAACGGTCTTTGATTAAAATATGGTTAAGAACCATAGTTCTGTTTAAAAACCAGCTTGGACCAGTACGAGAAGCACTTGCTTCTGTTCTCTCCCTTTTCATCCCCTTCCTCCTCCCTCTCTTCTTTCTTCCTTATCTTCCTCTCTCTACTTCTTTCTTCACAAGCAAATTTGTAACTTACTATGTTTTAAAAAATGCTTTCTTAGAAATTGAAATAACTTTCCATACACTTGTAAGTGTGGAAAGTAGAAGACTGTTCATTACTGAAATTCTTCTAGAGGTAGTGATCTAATTATAAGTATCTAAATGTAGCGGGAATTCCCTGTTTAAGAAGTTGATCTAGGAAATCATTGCTTTAGACAGATGATTATTTGATGCTTGAATTATTTTACTACTAGATCAGTTGGCAAACTTTTTCTATAAAGGGTCAGATAGTAAATATGTTAGGCTTTGCCTGACTGTAAGTCCTCTATTAAATTACTAAGCTCAGCCATTGTAGCATGAAAAAACCAAGTTGACAGTGTACCAACAAATGAGTCTGGCTGTGTTTCAGTAAAACTTTATTTATGACACTGAAATTTGAATTTCATATAATTATCACATATTATGAAACATTTTAACTTAGATTTTTTTCAACTATTTAAAGATATAAAAACTATTCTTAGCCCACAGGTTATACAGAAACAGGTGGCAGGCCAAATTCAGCTTTCAGGCAGTAGTTTGCTGACCATGCACTAGGCCTCTTATACACTACCATGTTTATTCTTATATTTGTATTGCCATTCTATTTTTAAAAATATACTGCTGGGTTTATAATCTATAAATCGGGGTCTCTGGAGTATTATAATTTAAAAGACCTTGGTAAAGATCATATGTGACCTAAAGACTTAGGTGGTCTCCTCCCTCACTTCTTTGATGGCAGAACCCCTAGTTGAGATTTTATTCAAATACCTGGTGGTCATATACTTCAGGGGAGGTTGTTTTCTTCCTCCTCCCAATTTCTGGGTGTGGGGGAGGGCAGATAAATCTTTATTGGTTTTATCCAATTTTAGTTCCATTCCCCTTGCAGTGATTGATTTAAGAATGGCAATTTGGGCAATAAGGTACATGGGGAAGAATTCAATTGCATACAGTAGACTGATCCTGGATATGAAAATGAATTTTTGACAACTGGAGTTAAAGTACCTAAAAAAATACTTTTGAGTATTAACTTCATTTTGCACGGGCTAGTGTAGATTGCTGTACTGACAGACATAGTTCAAGAAAACAGTTACATATAGAATAGAATTTTTTAAAAGTTTTTATTTATATTCTAGTTAGTTAACATACAGTGTTATATTAGTTTCAGATGTACAATATAGTGATTCAGCACTTCCATACAACACCCCGTGTTCATTACTAGTGCACTCCTTAATCCCCATCACCTATTTCACACATTCCCCCCACCCCACTCCCCTCTGGGAACCATCAGTTCTCTATAGTTAAGAGTCTGTTTCTTGGTTTGCCTCTCTTTCTCCCTCTCTCTCTCTCTTTTCCCCATTGTTCATTTGTTTCTTAAATTCCACATATAAATGAAATCATATGGTATTTGTCTTTCTCTGATGTATTTTGCTCAGCATAATGCTCTAGATCCATTCATGTCATTGCAAATGACAAGATCTCAGTCTTTTTTATGGCTGAGTAATATTACAGTGTGTGTGTGTGTGTGTGTGTGTGTGTGTGTGTGTGTGTGTACCACATCTTCTTTATCCAATCATCAGTCCGTTGATGGACACTTAGGCTGTGTCCATAATTTGGCTATTGTACATAATGCTGCTATAAACATCGGGGTGCATGTATCCCTTTGAATTAATATTTTTATAGTCTTTGGGTAAATACCTAGTAAGGCAATTGCTGGATCATAAGATTTTTAACTTTTCAAGGAACCTCCATACTGTTTTCCACAGTGGCCACACCAGTTTGTATTCCCACCAACAGTGCAAGAAAGTTCCTTTCTCTCCACATCTTTGCTAACACCTGTTGTTTCTTGTGTTGTTGATTTTAGCCATTTTGATAGGTGTGCGGTGATATCTCCTTATAATTTTGGTTTGCATTTACCTGATGATGAGTGATGTTGAGCATCCGTTCATATGTCTACTGGCCATCTGTATGTCTTCTTTGGAAAAATGCCCACTTTTTAATTGGATTATATTTTTTTTTGAGTATTGAGTTTTATAAGTCCTTTATATATTTTGGCTATTAACCCTTTATCAGATATGTCATTTGCAAATATCTTCTCCTATTCCTTAAGTTGCCTTTTAGTATAGAATTTCAAAATTTTTATTTATTAAAATTTTCTGAATTCAAATATAGAAAAATTAAATTTTTGTTATATCAACATAAAATTATAAACTCCTTCTTTGGGAAGAACTGTTTGTTCCATTTTATCTTTTTTCCTTACAAAATGTATTTTTCAAAAAGGCAACCGTATGCCAATAACCACAGAAGTTTTTGAAATTTTACTGGTCCATGTACACCTGAAAGTTGGTAATGGAAATCCTGGTTTGTACTCAGTAAATTCCATTCTTACCACCTCACTTCCTTACTCCTTGCAGCCTAGCTTTGGGCCTGACTTCTTGGCTGAATTGGTTTCTAGAAGGTTAATATTGATTTTATGGTCCTAGTACCCCCTTTTTTAAACCAAATCTCTCCTTTGCCTTTTCTGTAATGTTTAATTCTGTTGCCCATTTCATCTCTGAAACTCTCTTTCCTAGTATCTGCTAAGAGTGCTTTTCTGTTCTACCTCAGTGACCATTTTTCAGTCTCTTTTAATGCCTTTATTTTGTTCCTTTCCATTTTGGGGGGTAACTCTTGTAAAACACTGAGTGTTTACAATGCCTAAAAATAGTATGCATGAGAATGAATTAGCCACAAATAGAAGCTGCAGGTTGCTAAGTAGAGACTATTTGGTAGAGACTGTCTTTTGATATAAAGCCAGGCTTATAATTGGTATTGAATAGTTTTCCTAACTGGTAACAAGTACACACACATATTTAATGCACTACATTCGTTTGTGTACCATTATTAATGCATTTCTTTATGGATATTTTCATTCCAGTCATGTGTTTATGCTTTAAAAAATACCATATGGGCATTCTTGTGCCTATATTTTGTCATACTTAATGAGTATATCCATATTATAAATTCCTAGTGGTAGAATTGTTGAATTATGGTGTATGTGCACTTAAAAGTTTGGTAGACATTGCCAAATAGTCTTTCAGAAAGCTTGTACCAGTTTGCACTTTTATCAGCATTATGAGTGCTGCTTTTCCACCCTCTCCAACAATGAATATAATAAAACAATGTTTGCTAATCTAATAGGTGAAAAATAGTTTGTTTACATTTTGATTTAGTTGTGAAGCTGAGCATCTTTTATATCAGTAGTTTTCAACTGGGAATGATTTTGCCTACCAGGGGAGATTTGGCAATGTCTGGAGACGTTTTTGGTTTTACTGGGAGAGGGTCTGGGGAGAGAATTTTGCTGGCATACTGCTAAACATCCTGCAATGCACATGACCAAGTATTATCCCCAAATATCAGTAGTGTCAGCGTTGAGAAACTCTATATATTAATCTATATGATCTCCCTTGTTGGTTTTATTATCTGTAAATCTTGAGTTATTTTATTGGTTACTTGAGGGCTTATAGTGTACAGCTTTAACTTATCACAGTTTACCTTCAAGAGATATTTTACTATTTCGTGTATAATATAAAAGCCTTTTAACAGTATATTTCCATTTTTCTCTTCCTGGTCTTTGTGCTATTATTGTAATACATTTTACTTCTGCATATGTTGTAGACCCCATAATACATTATTATTATTATTATTTACTTTAAACAGTTGATTATCTTTAAATTTTTTAAACATTAATATAATTTATTATTAGATTGCACGTATTTCAAATGAACAATTTGATATGTTTTGACATGTGTATATAATTGTGAAACCCCACCATACACCACAATAATGAATATATTCATCGTCCCCAAAACTTTTCTCCTGCCCCTTTGTAATCCCTTCCCCAGCCCCAGGAAGCCACTGATCGGCTTTCTGTTACTGTAGGTAGGTGTACATTTTTAGAATTTTATGTAGATGGAATCATATATATTTTCTTCTTGTCTGACTTCCTTCATCCAACATCATTATTTTGAGATTTATCCATGTTGTATGTATCACTAGGAAAACATTCTTAATGACAGAGATTCCAGGTAATTGGACTGCAGTTATTAAAGAGTATGCTGAATTCTAAAGTCACTTGATGTGTTCTTTGTTTTAGGTCATGACTCTCCAGGGTATGATAATCACATGAGAGCACTCATTGCTGCAGATGTCATTTGACTCATCAGAAAAAAGCTGTTTAAAAGAAAATATCTGTACAACCAGATCCATTTTGTTATTGAATGGCTTAATGGATTTCCTTTACTCTGATTCATACCAAAGCTGTCCTTGTCAACCAAAGCAAGAAAGGATCCTGCATGAGTCAATCACAGAATGCCATTTTTACATCACCAATAGGTGAAGAAAACCTCATGAATATCAATCACAGAGACTCAGAGAGTATCACTGGTAAGTCCAGTTTAATAAATATTGAAGAGCTATTCCTGGCATGTAAAATCTGCCATGATGAAACCCTGGCCTCACTTTCCAGCCTGATCTCCTGAGAGACCAACTGAATTAATCATTCCTCCTCCTTGTCTCCTACTGAATTATCAAAATCTGCGTTGTGTGTTATATGTTGTCTATGTCGGATTCTTCTGTAACGTGTGAGCCCTGATCAGCGGGACCTGCATCATACTTCCCTTCCCTTCTTGTCTTTCTATTCGTATCTTCCACAAGGACAGAGTTGCTTTTCTATATACCCTGCAAACACCTGACAACAGTCTGACACTTCAGAAGCTCTCAGGACGTACAGGTATTCATATGCAGCTATAGTCCCGTAAGCCCTTATCTGTAAGACCAAATCAAAAAAACTGAACACCCAAAGTTATTTCTAAACTTTGGTTCTAAAATTCACTGGTGCACAAAACCTGACCTTTGTAGCTATTTCTAGATTTATTTCACTTAGTGTGAATATTTGTTTGCTGACAGTGTATTAATGTATTTAAATGTGGGGTGCTGCTACAAAACCAGTTGGAGTTGTTATATATCATACAGTACACACATAGCATTACTTTTCTAAAACTCCAAAAAATTCTGAAATCCATCCAAACCCAAAGTTTTTTCCATTTTTTATTCAGCTTTATTGTAATCTCTTCATTAAGATACAATAGAATGTGCCCATTTTAAGTGCACAGTTTGGTTTTGACAAATATATAATACACTCATGTAACCACTAGTACAGTCAAGTTGTAGAACATTTTTATTGTGCCCCCAAAAGTTCCCTTGTACCCAGAGCGCCCCCTCTCTCAACCACGGGCCCCTGGCAACCATTGATCTGCTCTCTGTCACCATAGATAAAATTTGCTTGTTCTAGAATTTCATATAAATTAATCTGTATCTTTCATGTCTGGCTTTTTTGTACAGCAAAATGTTTTTGAGATTTATTCACATTGTGGTATGTATCAGTAGTTCAGTCATTTTTATTGCTGAAGTGCCAACTACTCTGCTGTTGTAGCAGAAAAACAGCCGTAGACAATATATAAAAGAACAAATGTGATTGTGGTCCAATAAAACTTGATTTATAAAATCAGGCAGAGGCAGCAGGCTAGAGCCTGCTCTGCTGACCTCTGTTCTACAGCACCAACACTTGGTAATGTCAGTGTTTTTGACTGAAGCCATTCTAGTAGGTATGTCCTGGTATCTCTTTGTGGGTTTATTTTTCCCTGATGACTAATGATGTTGAGCATCTATTCATGTGCTTATTTGGCCATTTCTAGATCTTATTTTGAGTTGTCTATTCAAATAATTTGCTCATTGTAAAGTATTTCTTACCATTGAATTGTAAATGTCTTTATTATATATTCTAGATGTAAATCCTTTGTTAGATAAATGGGTTCTCCCATATCTACTTGCCTTTTCATCTTTGTTGTTGTTTTTAAGTAATCTCCACATCCAGTGTAGGGCTCCAACTCATAACCCTGAGATCAAGAGTCCTATGCTCTACCAACTGAGCCAACCAGGGGCTCCTGCCTTTTCATCTTCTTAATAATGCCTTTTGAAGAGCAAAAGTTTTAAATTTTGGTGGAGTCTAGTTTTCATTTTTTGCTTTCATAATAGTTTAATGTTTTTTTGTGTTGTTTCTAAAAAGTCTTCATATACTTCAAGATCACAAAGATATTCTCCTTTGTTCTCTTTTATTTTTTTATTAAGATTTTTTATTTATTTCTTGAAAGAGAGAGAGGGCAGAGAGGGAGAAGGAGAAGCAGACCCCCTGCTGAGGAGGGAGCCCAACAAGATGGCGGGGCTTGATCCCAGGACCCTGAGATTTTATTTATTTATTTGAGAGAGAGAGTAAGTGAGAGAGAGCATGAGCAGGGGGAGGGCAGAGGGAATGGAGAGAGAAATCTAAGCAGGCTCCCTGCTGAGCAGGGAGCCCCACACAGGGCTCAATCCCAGAACCCTGAGATCATGACCTGCCTGAGCTGAAGGCAGACGCTCAACCAACTGAGCCACCCAGGCACCCTCCTTTGTTTTCTTTTAAAAGTTTTTTAGTTTCTGTTTTAACATTTAGGTGAGTGGTCCATTTTATACTTAATTTTGTATATGGAATGAGGTTAGGGTCCAAATTTTTTTTCTCAGTTGAATGTTTAGTTGTTTCTGCACCACTTATTGAAAAGTCTTTCACCCTATCTTGGTAATTACTATCTTGGTAATTTCATTGAAAAATCACTTGGATATGCATGTGTGGTTCTATTTCTGGATGCTTCACTGTGTTCCTTTAATCCTTAAGTCTGTCTTTACATAAATACCACATTGTCTTGATTTCTGTAACTGTATAAACTCTCTTTGCTCTTTTTTTTTTTTCCAAAAATTATTTTGGCCATTCGAGATCTTTCACATCTTTACATAAATTTTAGAATCAGCTTGTCAATTTCCAATTGAATGGTAAATTACGTAGACTCCAGAGAATGGACATCTTTTTTTTTTTTTTTAAAGATTTTATTTATTTATTTGACAGATAGAGACACAGTGAGAGAGGGAACACAAGCAGGGGGAGTGGGAGAAGGAGAAGTAGGCTTCCCACTGAGCGGGGAGCCCGATGTGGGACTTGATCCCAGGACCCTGGGATCATGACCTGAGCTGAAGGCAGACGCTTAATGACTGAGCCACCCAGGCGCCCGAGAATTGACATCTTAAGACAATTTAGTCTTCCAGTCCATGAACATGATATATTTCTCCATTTATTTAGGTCTTATTTAATTTCTTTTAACAGTATTTTATAGTTTTTATTTTACAGGTCTTACACATTTTATTTAATTTAATCTTAAAAATTATATTTATTTCTGCTACTGTAAATGGCATTTTTTATTTCATTTCATTCTCCAGGTGTTTACTGCTGGTGTATAAAAATGAAATTGATTATATATTGACCTTGTATTCTGCAACTTTGCTTTACTTAGTTTTATTTTTTTATTTAAAAAGAATTTTTTTTAAAGAGAGAGAGAGAACACGCCAGTGGGAGGGGGGTAGGGGAGGGGCAGAGGGAGAGAGAGAGAGAATCCTAAGAAGTCTCCATGTTTAGCACAGAGCCCAGTGTGGGGCTCGATCTCATGACCCTGAGATCATGACCTGAGCCGAAATCAAGAGTCAGATGCTTAACTGACTGAGCCACCTGGGTAGCCCAGCTTAGTTTTATTAACTTTCTTATAGATTCCTTAGAATTCCCTACGTAAACCATAATGTTGTGTACAAATGGAGACAGTTTTGCATGTTCCTTTTCATTCTGGATGTGTTTTATTTCTTTTCCTTCCCTTGAATGGTACAGGATCTCAGTATATTTTTTTAAATTTTTTATCCTTATGTTAATCACCATACATTACATCCTTGCCATATTTCCAATATTAGAGAAAAGTTACAGTCTCACCATTAATTTTCTTTAGAATGGCCTTTTTCAAATTGGAGAATTGTTTTTCTTCTCCCAGTTGGATAAGAGGTTTTTGTCATGAATGGGTATTGAATTTTGTGAAATGCCTGTTCTCCATTACTGAGATGGTTTTTCTTTCTTAGTCTGTTAATGTGAATTCTGTTGATTTTTAATTTTTTCTGTTTTTGAATTTTTAAGCCAACCTTGTGGGGAAAACCCACACTTGGCCTTGATATATTATCCTTCTGATAGATTGTGGATTTGATTTATTAATGTTTTGTGTGTATGTGTGTGTGCCCCATTCGTGAAAACTATTGGTTTGTACTTTTTTTTTTTTTTTTTGCAATGTCTGTTTGATTTTGGTATTGCAGTAATGCTGGCCTCATAAAATGAGTTGTAAAATATTCCTGCCTCTATTTTTGAAAAGAGTTGGTGTAGAATTAGTATGATAGCATTTTTCATCCTTTTACTTTTAATTTACCTGAATATTTAAAGAACATCTCCTATAGAGAGCTTATGGTTAGATCGTTTTTTTTTTTTAATTCAGTTTGACGATCTCTACTTTATAATTGGGGTGTTTAGACGATTTGCATTTAATATAATTATCAGTTTGGTTGAGTCAGTAGACTCTGTACTATCATTTGTTTTCTCTTTGTTCTACTTAGTGGTTCTTTGTTTTTCCCCCATTCCTTCACTCTTTTGAACTGAGTTTTGGATTTTTGTTTTGTTTTGTTTTGTTTAGGATTCCATTTTAATTCCACTATTGACTTAGTAGGTATACCTCTCATTTTTCTAGGCGGTTGCTCTGTGTTTGCAATATGCATTTTTAACTTATCGCAGTACATCCTCAAATAACATTATACTATTTCATAAAGTGACATCCTTACAACAATATTCTTCTGTTTCCCTCATCATCCTATGTATTATTGTTGCTGTGTCTTTTACATCTACATGTTATATACATAATTAATTGATATTTTTACTTTAAACAGTCAATTATAAATTGTTTTATATAGTTACAGATTTGCCAGTTTTGTCAGTTTTTACTTCTTTTTGTAGATTGAACTTTGCATTTTGTATCTTTTTTCCAGAAGTTTAACATTTCTTGTAATATAGGTCAGCTGGCAATGAATAGTTGCACTTTTAGGCTTGTCTGAAGAAAGTCTTTGTTACACCTTTTATGAAAGGTGTTTTCACTGGTACAGAATTCTGAGTTGACTATGCACTTCAGTGGCATCTCTTGTCATCTACTTTGCCTTGCTTTTGATGAGATTATTCTTGTCTTTTTTCCCTCAAATGTAATGTGTCCTTTTTTCTCTCTCTCTGCTTTTAAGATTTTCTCTTTGGATTTTCTTTGTGATACTCTGCTTAGAGTTGAGCTTCTTTGAACTACGGATTTATAGTTTTAATTAAATTTGCAAGATTTCAGCCATTATTTCTTCAGCTATTCTTTCTGCTCTGCCTCTCTCCTCTTCTGTGACTCCAATTGCATATATGTTAGATGCTTTGATACTATGACAGAAATCACTAATGATCTGTTCATTTTTTCCCCAGTTATTTTTTTTCTTTATGCTTCATTTTAGATAGTTTCTATTACTATGCCTTCAAGTCTATTACTGTTTTTTTCTTTGGAGAATGTCTAATCTGTTAATGTTATCCAGTGAGTTTTTCAATTTAGATATTATACTTTAGTTCTACTTGGGTTTTATAAAGATTGATATAGCTTCTGTTTCTCTTTTCATCAAGTTTATATTTTCCTTTTAAATCTTTGAGCGTATTAATAATAGCTGCTTTTAAATTGTTGTTTACAAATTTTATCACCTTTGTCATTACCAGGCCTGTTTCTGTTGGCTCATTTTCCAACCGGTAATGGATTACAATTTGCTTATTCTTTGCATATCTAATAATCTTTTATCAAATGCTGAGTATTTTGAATGTTACATTGTTAGATGTTTAGATTTTGTTGTCTTCCTTGGAAGACTGTTGAAATTTGTTCTGTTGGGTCCTTAAGTTACTTTCTAATAAGGTCCATCCTTTTGAGGCTTGTTTTTAATTTTTGTTTGGTGGGCCTCTAGATCACACTTTAGATCATACTGTACTATGCTTTATTCTAGCATTAATTTAATCCTACTAAGAGTAGGCATGGCCTTCCTAAGATCTTTACTAATTATCCCAACTGTTCATAAGGTTTTTCTCCAATGGCTAGATGAGATTCAGACCTCTTTTAGCCTGTGTAGGAGAGTGACATAATGTGGATATGAAGATATGGAGGAAAATTTGAGTGTAAGAGGGCAGACCAATTTTGAGGCTCTTCAAGAGAAACAAAAGGAATCCTTGAATCTAAATGGACACAAAGTGGCTAAAAAAAAGTGGGCATATGGAGGGGACATTTGGAAGATAAAATGTTAGCAAGAGGGTTGTTAAGACTGGATAATCAGGAGAGTAGTAAATAGTACATTATCAGAAATACAGAAGGAGGGGCTCCTGGGTGTCTCAGTCGTTAAGCGTCTGCCTTAGGTTGTGATCCCTGCTGGGCAGGAGGCCTGCTTCTCCCTCTCCCACTCCCCCTGCTTGTGTTCCCTCTCCTGCTGTCTCTCTCTGTCAAATAAATAAATAAAATCTTTAAAAAAAAAAAATACAGAAGCAAATAGAGGGAACGACTCAAGGATATTTAATCTACTAAACCTTGATTGTATATGCATTTTTATTTTTTTTAAAGATTTTATTTATTTATTTGACAGAGAGAGAGAGCACAAGTAGGCAGAGTGGCAGGCAGAGGGAGAGGGAGAAGCAGGCTCTCTGCCAAGCGGGGACCCCAATGTCGGGGCTCAATCCAAGGACCTCAGGGTCATGACCTGAACCAAAGGCAGCCGCTTAACCGACTGAGCCACCCAGGCGCCGCATGTATTTGTACGCATTTTTAAAAGTACCTTTTGGAAGTAGGGAATGGTAACCTTGAATTTTCACAGAATTTCATTAATGCGTATTAAAAGACAATTTCTAATTTAGATGGTTAGCGATTTTGTTAAATACGTTGTGGGGTGAAGAGGAGGTGACAGAGAAGGAAATTGCAGTAAAGATTTTAAAATGTCATTTACACTAAAGATTTGCTAAGTAATTAAAAGAGCTGTCCTCTAAAATAAAATAAAAGACAGTTTCTAGGGAATAAAAGCTCTTTTAATGAATGTTAAATTTTGTTCTTCGTTTCCTGAATTGCCCACAAGCCTGTTTATAGCTTGGCATGTGTTTATAGTCAACTTCTTTTCTTTCAAGTATTAAACTGACAATCTGTATGTGATATATTTATGGCAGGACAAATTTGGATGATCGCATGGAATTTGTAGTAATAAAATTTGGTTGTATTTTTAGGGCTTTTAAAAAGACCTGCTAAGGGTTGAGAGCTTCTTTAAATAAATTTTTAATGTACCTTATCTCTGTGATTATGTAACTCATCTTTGTGATTATGAAGTCACTGCTTGTCCTAGGTAAAGAGGGGTATGTGATATTGTCAGTTTACTCGTATTTGATTTATTAAAGTGTCATTGTTAAGATCAAGTAGTAGAAATTTACTCTTTTAAAATATGCTTTCTTAAAATGAACTTTGTTGTTCTTTGCCAGGGTTAGAATGTTTCTTTATACCACCCACAAAAGAAATACCAGATCTCTTTATAAAGTGTGAGGGTTGATATGACATCCTGTATTTTCTCTATTTTAAGCATGTTAAAAGGGATAAATTTACTTTTTCTGTAAACTGCTAAATTTGGGAAGTGTTAAATGAGGGGCAGTATTTGGAACAGGAAGCCAAGAGCAAACACATAAAGGCAGAGAAGCCAAGTGTGTTCAGAGATGTATGCAGAAGGTAGCTAGAGGTGTGTGGGTGAGAGTATGATGTGAAAGGTATTCAGGACTTCAAATGTACCACGTCTTTCAAAATAAAAATGATAAAGTACTTATTCCAGTACTAGTGCTGGAACATGGTGCTGAAATGTTAACATTACTAGTTAACATTTAACCACTAAATGTTAATTTTTTGATATCTAGCTACTGTAAGAATATACTGAAATGTAATTTTTCCAAATTTTGAAGAATCCTCCCACAGCGTTCAAATTTTGTTATTAAAGAACATGTCATTTTATTCCTTTTGAACTAGTTATTTTCTGCTCATTGTTTTGTGTTGCCTTTTTCCCCCAAGCATATATGTTATTTGAGATCCACTCTCTTTTAAGCAACACTGCAGAGACTGATAAGGAGGAAATAAGAAATTTGTTCAAATTCATTTTAGTTTTTAAAAACATAGTTATATTCACCAAGCAGTATATTTTTAAATAGGATGTAATTAAAATTCGTGGTATTATTTCTACATAGAAGTTTTCATATTAAAGAAACCTAGAGAAAGACCAACTATAGTACCAACATATATTAATAAAAATCACTGGAGCCCTTTCTACACGATCACGCTGAGCTAGTACACGGGCCTGGAATCGGGCTGCAACCTCAGCCGCACCTGCCGCCTGCCGCCTGCCACCGCCTCTGGACCATGGACCCCCGCAAAGTGAGCGAGCTTCGGGCCTTCGTGAAAATGTGTAAGCAGGATCCGAGCGTTCTGCGCACCGAGGAAATGCGCTTCCTGTGGGAGTGGGTGGAGAGCATGGGGGGTAAAATACCACCTGCCACTCATAAAACTAAATCAGAAGACAAGGAAGAAAAAACAGATAGTAAGAAGGCGGAGGAAAACATAAAGACAGACGAACCATCAAGTGAGGAAAGTGATCTAGAAATTGACAATGAAGGTGTGATTGAACCAGATACTGATGCCCCTCAAGAAATGGGAGATGAAAATGTAGAGATAACCGAGGAAATGATGGATCAGGCAAATGATAAAAAAGTGGCTGCCACTGATGCCCTAAATGATGGCAAACTACAGAAAGCCATTGACTTGTTCACAGATGCCATCAAACTGAATCCTCACTTGGCCATTCTCTATGCCAAGAGAGTCAGTGTCTTCATCAAATTACAGAAGCCAAATGCTGCCATTTGAGACTGTGACAGAGCTATTGAAATAAATCCTGATTCAGCTCAGCCTTAAAAGTGGCGAGGGAAAGCACACAGACTTCTGGGCCATTGGGAAGAAGCAGCACATGATCTTGCCCTTGCTTGTAAACTGGATTACGATGAAGATGCTAGTGCAATGCTGAAAGAAGTTCAACCAAGGGCCCAGAAAATTGCTGAACACTGGAGAAAGTATGAGCGAAAACATGAGAGCGAGAGATCAAAGAAAGAATAGAAAGGGTTAAGAAGGCTCGGGAAGAACATGAGAGAGCCCAGAGGGAGGAAGAAGCCGGACAACAATCAGGAGCTCAGTATGGCTCTTTCCCAGGTGGCTTTCCTGGGGGAATGCCTGGTAATTTTCCTGGAGGAATGCTTGGAATGGCAGGGGGGATGCCTCGAATGGCAGGAATGCCTGGGCTCAATGAAATTCTTAGTGATCCAGAGGTTCTCGCAGCCATGCAGGATCCAGAAGTTATGGTGGCCTTCCAGGATGTGGCCCAGAACCCAGTGAATATGTCAAAATATCAGAGCAATCCAAAGGTTATGAATCTCATCAGTAAATTGTCAGCCAAATTTGGAGGTCAAGCATAATGCCCTTCTGACAAATAAAGCCCTTGCTGAAGGAAAAGCAACGATCACCTAATGGATGTCGCAATAATACAAACCAGTGTACCTCTGACCTTCTCATGAAGAAAGCTGGGGTGCTGTGAAGAGAATCCCTACCCCTCTGCCCCACATGCAACTGAAACATTCTATAGTGGTTTGCCATTAGGGTATTCATTCAGATAATGTTTTCCTACTAGGAATTACAAACTTTAAACACTTTTTAAACCTTAAAAATATTTAAAAACATATAAAAAGGGTGTGTTAGTCCCTACATTTTTCTTTACTAATCATTTCAGTTTTTTTCCTTTGGATTAATTGGGCAGGGAAGATACTTCAGTGTGGAAGATTTATTGCTCAGTTTGAGTGAAAGGTTTATTAGTGGGAGGCAGATAATAACATTTAAATAGATGAAGTTTGAGTTGGAGATATGGTTTCTGAGGCATTTTGACTTGTCTTTTTAAATGCTTTATTTTTTAAACACAGTTTATTTGGATAAAACCATTGGGACTACCAGTATTGCAGTATGACCTGGGTAGGGACCGGAAGTGTTTGGCAGGGCAGCAGCAACCTTACTCCTTTTATATAGTGTGCACCCTTGTGCAGATGCATTTAAATCTTACACTGTGGTGAAGGGATAATTTTTATAATGCTACAGTAGAATTGGATTACTTAGCTGTGTTCTTGTCTGATACAGAAAATAAATGTTTGCATTATTTCCACATAGGGGAAAAAAATAAAATAAAAATAAAAATCACTGGAGAAATTATCCTGGCTAGTGTTTCTTTGGTTATCCTACTTTGCAAACTAATTTCACTGATGTTTTCTCTGTAGCCTAGTAAATTGGAATATATTGGCTTCATTTACATGGAATCTCCTTTTTAGATGTCTGCTCCAATGAGGATCTCCCTGAAGTTGAGCTGGTGAGTCTGCTGGAAGAACAGCTACCCCAGTATAAGCTAAGAGTAGACTCTCTCTTTCTATATGAAAATCAAGACTGGACTCAGTCCCCACACCAGCAGCAGCATGCATCTGATGCCCTCTCTCCAGTCCTTGCTGAAGAGACTTTCCATTATATGAGTGAGTATTTTTTTACCCTTTTAGAGTTTGTCCATTGAAATAAAGATCATAAGTATCTTGATGTTGACTTTTAAAACATTTGGCATCCCTAGGCATTGTTAATTGTGTACCTACTTTAACTCAAACTGATTTCACAATAGAAAGAGATGATTCTGTGTTATGTCTGAATGCAGTGAGTTTGTCATTCTTATGACTCTGAGTGTTTGGGGTTACAAGCAATACTCAGATGTTTCCATGTCTCCTTTCTTTTATTTGATACTTTCCTCAGACTGAATAGAGAAATGAACTTAAAAAAAAGTAGTTGAAAATTTAATTTAAAATTTTAATATCCCTTTATATCTCAAAACATTTATTATCCCAGTAGTTTGATATCCTGAGCCATCAGCTATCTTACTTTATATTTTCTGTTAAACACTCACAGGAACGAGGTCAGTCATTAAGAAGCATGGTTTTTGGATACATAAGTAGTTTTAATAAACTATGGAGACCTTTTCGCTTTTGACCTTATTCCAAACATCTGCTTCAGGCTGAGCTGACTTTTTTTTATTCATTCACTATAAAAATGTTGTGTGCATAGTAGCTATTAGGATATATAATAAAAGTCTGTAAGTTCAACATTGATATGTTTGTAAAATTCTTCTCATTTGTGTTAGATATGACATTGCATCAGTTCCTAGACATTTTCCCAGTGAGCGCTTCAGTGTCTTTAGTGATTGTTGTGAAATACTAATTTTCATAGTAATCGTTAACTTTTAATGGTAGTTTTCCTAGAACCAGGTTACTTACTGCTCAGGAAAAAAAAACTGTAAACGTTATTTAAACTTGAATTAGAATATCAAGGGACTTAAATAAAACTATTTCTTCCTCAATAATTCTTGTAAGTAGCTGAATATTAAATTAAAGCTCTTAAGGTTTTCTTAACTTTCAAGTTTGAGAGGTTGCTTGCTTGAGATTTTCTGAGAAGTGCTGTTTTTTATTTCCATTTCTCTTTGTTCCATGCATTTTTAGATTTGTGAGAAGAAACTTCACATTGAAATTTCATCAGGATAAGTTTAGTTTCTGTCATTATTTTGATAAAGTAGCCCAGAAAGTTGCCCCTTAGTTTACTTTTTCTTTGTCATATATGCCACTAGAGGATGGAACTGTAGCTAGAAATCTGTCTTAGATCATAATTTCATGGAGTTACTTTTAGGAAGAATTTAAATAAAAATGAACTTCTTTGGAAAATAAATGATAATCAAATTCTAAAATACTTGGTTTTCAGGACCCCATACAAAGTAAATAATAATGTTCAAGAGAGCAATTTAAAACTTAAGATTAATAGGATGTTACAGGTCCATACTTCCAGGGTTCAGAAAACTATCCTAGTCCTTCAGTCTAAGGGTACTATTTTCATTTCAACAATTTGAAAATTGAACTATATATGATATACTTAAGATCATGAAGCAAATAAGCTACGATTATAATTGGTCCACTAATACTTTATCTCTGTATTATACCTCAATTTCATTGTTATTTTAAAGATACCAATTCTTTGGGTTAACAGTTCACTCAAATATAAACTTCATTTTGAATTTGCATCTTATGAGTGTAAAAGATAAGTGATTTACTTTATTTAGCAAATTGATCAATGTTTTGAAAATCCAAGATACAAAACATTCTCTGACCTTTCCAACAGTTTTGTGTCCCTTTGAGATGTCAAGATCTGTGGTTGTGAATAATTATTATGTACCCTCATAGGCCATCCTAGGGTTTAGCTCCCTGGTACTACTTCAGCCTTTCTTATCCCGACTTCCCTCACATACCAGTAGATACTCCTGCTCCTTAAAATGAATTTTAACAACCAATAAAAAGAGGTGGCACAGGAAGAGGCACTTTCTCTCTTTTGTAACACAAAGAAGTTGGAAGAGTTGTGAGAAGAAAAATAAATTTAGAAGGAAGCATGGGCAGAGTTTTGGGTTGGGAGCCTACCTCAAATCGGTGAAAGGAGACTGGATGTTCTCAGAAGGCCCCACCAAACCAGAAAGAGATTGTTTACTTTTAAAATAGAACACTTGAGAGCACTGGGTGTGTCCAGAAAAATAATTCCATCCTAGTCCCTGCCATATATAAAATGTAAGATACTCAAAGAATATTTTGCATGCAGAACAAGTCATTTCAGTATTTCCTTAATTTTACTAAGAGAAAGACCCAGAGTGAGCTGTAGGTGGGCAGTGCAGTCATAGCACATAACAGAAAGTACCATTTGTTCGTGGAAAGGCTAAAAATAGAAAGAAACCTCATCTGCCTTTCAGGGTATTTTTTATTTGGGCATAAGGGATCACCTTGCATAAGAATGCATAAGAAAAAAGGGTTGGGGGGAAGTGATTAGTCTTGTAAGTTTTAGTTAGGAGTTTAGCATCACTTGGGAACTTGTTAGAAATGCAAATTCTTGGGCCCCTACCCCGGATCTACAGAATCAGAAATTCTGGAAGTGGAGCATAGCAGTCTGTGTTTTAACAAGTCCTCCTGAGTGTACTGATGCACACTAAGATCTGAGAACCACCAGTACAAAGCATTGTCAACCAAAGCTATATGGCCATTTCATAGTGATGATGGTTGGAGAATTTAAGGAATTAGGGAGGGTGTACAATTTTGTAGAGAAATACAGTTGTAGAAATAATTACTTCTGCTTAGACTTTTCCTCAAGGTCTGCCCTCCAAAATTATTAATCTATACTGGCAGGAAAAGAAATATAACTGATAATGTTCAGGAAGCAGTAACCATAAGTCAGATCATGGAGGTTAGCATATTTATAGTTCCTCTCGACCAATTCCACAAAATAATTAAGTCATATGCCCCAAGACACCTATTGAGTATTATCTGTGGGAGAATTGAGAAAATTATCTCACTCAAATCATTATATGTAGGGCTTAATTCTCCCCTGGAACCCTGTTGGGAAAGGCTGTCCTAGATGGTACATATCATCAGACACCTTCTTTTTGTTCTCAGTGCTTTTGAAGGCCGTTTTTTGTATTGCAGAAACATTCTCCATATTCTAGCAGCAAGAGCAGCGGTCACTTCTTTGGGATTAAAACCATAAGACCTGTCTGTAGTTACCAGGAGCTCTTGCGGCTTTGACTATGCCACGTGGGTGGTTTGTCTTTCATTTTTGTTTTTTGTTGCTTTGTTTTTGATTTTATGCTGCAAGAGGGTTGGAGAGATTAGAAGTCTTTTTAAATTTCAGTAATTGTGGTAAAAACTCTAGATCTCACTGGTATGAGGAATTCTTAATCTCAGGAAACAAACTGAGGGCTGCTGGAGTGGTGAGGGGTGGGAGGGATGGGGCGGCTGGGTGATAGACATTGAGGAGGGTATGTGCTATGGTGAGCACTGTGAATTGTGTAGGACTGTTGAATCACAGACCTGTACCTCTGAGACAAATAATACATCATATGTTAAAAAAAAAGAAGATAGTAGGAAGGGAAAAATGAAGGGGGGAATCAGAGGGGGAGACGAACCATGAGAGACTATGGACTCTGAGAAACAAACTGAGGGTTCTAGAGGGGAGGGGGTGGGGGGATGGGTTAGCCTGGTGATGGGTATTAAAGAGGGCACGTTCTGCGTGGAGCCCTGGGTGTTATACGCAAATAATTAATCATGGAACACTACATCAAAAACTAATGATGTAATGTATGGTGATTAACATAACATAATAAAATAAAATTTAAAAGAAATGAGAGAACTATCAAGCACCATCTCATATAAATTACAGAGATATCAAAATGGATTAACATTGGCCCTTCCCATCCTCAAAAAATGTGAGGTTGAGTGGTCGATGTGAAATTATGCAGAATTAGAACTTAAAGTAAGAATTGGTAAAGTACTTAAGTATATCCCCCCCCATATTTTTTCAGGAACATAAGATTCTCCAAATCTTGCACCAAAAATGTTGAACATGAATTAATAACCTTTGAAAACCAACTTGCAAAATTGTTCTGTAAAAATGTTTTAGCATTTGAAAATTCATTTTTGCTCTCTGAATGAGAGCTGCTGTTTTTTGATTGCAAAGATAACATTTATTCTTCCCGGGAAATTAGTAAAAGATTAAAAAGAAAACAAGAGATCAGCCTAATCCCTACCCAGAGATAACCACTATAACATTTTAATGTGTATCCTTCCAGCCTCTCTTCTGTATCCATATGTATAAGATGTGCTCACAATTTTAAAACAAAATTGGGATCTGTGTTTTTATAACCTGCATTCACAGATGGATACTGGTTATTTCATCAGATAAAGGCCTTCTGATTCTGGTGGCACTGTGACAGGAACAGCAGCATGGTGCAAAGAGCCCATTACTGAGAATGAACGAACCCAAGATTTTTTTATGACCTTGTGAGATGGAAGTTGTTATCACCTCATTATTATCCTATTATTAGTTTCTCCTCACTAAAACATGTTTTATTCTAAACATCTCTTTTCTGTCTTACTGTGTCCTTTATTTTCTCTTCCCCTTTCTTCATGCATGACTTGTAGCTCAGCTCTTTATTATAGCCTTAACTTACTGGTTTTACTTCAAAATAAATTTACCACTTCACCTTCAACTCTGCTCAATCATGTAATATAAACTGTATTATATATTGTTTCAGTTACTTTTATAAAAACTGTTTTTAACTGAGTCTCTAGGATTCCTGGTTCTTGCTTCAAGTGTTACTTCTGAATTGGCAGTTTTCATTGCTAGCTCCATGTCTGAACACCTGGGCATCTTTTACTTACTGTGTGTGCCCTGGGGCTTCTTCAAATCAATTAAACTAGACTCTAGAGATGAGACCCACCACCCTAGGTTGCTTTTAGGTTTGTAACCATTGGCTGGTTTTCTGTAATTAATTTAGAACATAGATATGATTTGATTTTTTTGTCTCATTATTGAGGCCAGAAATAGTGGAGACCTCACACTGGAAGTAAATTGTGAAGATTCCTTTGGCCCAAAAGCCTGTTTCTCTTATCTCTGTGGTTAAATTATGGAGCCAGTTTTTCTACTTATAAATATAGATCTTTTTGGGGTAAAATTGTTTCTATCCAGATCTTTTTAGTTTTCTATCTCCTATTACTATTAATCCAGCACTTTGTTTACTTTTAGCTAGGAATAAGATGTCATTAATAATTAAGTTCTAGGTAATTCCCAGATTCCTTTTAAGCAGTTTTACCAGAAAGGAAAATAAAAAGCTCAAATAAAAGTAAAACATGTCCCGGGGTGCCTAGGTGGCTCAGTCGGTTAAGCATCTGCCTTTGGCTTGGGTCATGATCCCAGGGTCCTGGGATCAAGCCCCGCATCAGGCTCCCTGCTCAGCTGGGAGCATGCTTCTCCCTCTCCCACTCCCTCTGCTTGTGCTCTCTCTCGCTTGCTCTCTAATAAATAAATAAAATCTTAAAAAAATAAATAAATAAACATGTCCCATGGTGTCTTTTGGGCAACCTCAAGGAGAAGATGGGACTAAGGATCTACAAGTGACTTAAATCATAGTATCTGCTGCCAACACAGTGCATTATTTACAGAGAATTTTAAATCAGTGCTATTTCATACATACCAGCTGTGCTTAAAGAGTAGTAATTATACACACTTGTATGACACTTAGCAGTAGATTAATACCGCTCATTAAATGATCCTATTTCATCCTCCTAATGACCCTGTGAGATGAGCGTTATCACCTCCATATTGTAAATAAGGAAGGTGAATTTCAGAAGTGTTAAGTTCACTCAGATAGCGTGAATTCAGCTTTTCTGCTTCTAAAGCCTCTTATTTTTCCACACTTCAAAGCAAACTAATTATAAAATCAGTCTCAGTCAAACACAGATCTGTTTCATGTAATGCACTCCAAAGTCAAAAGATCCCTCTTTTAGGATGCATCATTAGCTTAAAAGGGTTTTGCTTATTGTGACTGTGGAATCACTGGGGTCATACTTGTCATTCCCTCTGGAGCTATATTATTCAATGCATTGACAGTTCCTGAATTTAATGCAGAAATCCTGGACTTAAATTATGCAAATAATAGTATAATATACAGTTTATCTTATAGCAGAGGCCTAGATATGGTAGAGATTTTCATAAAGAGTTTTTAATTATGCTTCGTAACAGAACTACCGAAAGTTTTACAAGTCCTATTCCTTGTTTATTGATATTAGCTCACATGATAGGTGATCACAGATATTCAAGATAATCACAACAGAATTCTAATTAAATATATTTGTAATAGCATAACCCCTCGCTAACTTGCCCCTCAGGAACTTTAATTGAGATTAGGGCATAAAACAATAGGTGATTTAATCCATTCTTCAGGCCCGCAGTCTCTAGTGTGAGTGGACTAAAGTTCTGATCTTACTGAGGGAGGAGGGGATAGTCAGGAAGTGGCTGCCTTATGGTCATTTGATAACTTTCTTAATTCATTGTATGATGTACATTTTGTTTGTAATAATTGGTCCATTTCTCAAGTGTCTAATACATAAACATTTCTTTTCTTTTTTCACATATATTTTTATTCTCCTGAATGGCATTTCATAAAAGCCTGAGTTTGTTGTTGTTATCTTTCAACTCTTAATGAATATTTAAAACTTTCTTTTATTTCTAAATACTATAAACAGTTGTTTTTAACTGTCTTAGTTCTAGGCACAGACAGGGTGGAGCAGATGACCAAAACTTACAATGATATCGACATGGTTACACACCTCCTGGCAGAGGTAAGAATATATATCTTTTCTTTCTCCAGGACTAAAACTTGACAGTCATTTAAAATCTATCAAGTTTACAGATCAAATGAAAAACAGTGATGTCTTTGTTCTGGGTTATTTTGTATAAGGTAGTTATAAGTTGCCTGGCATACCAACTGGCATTCCAAAGTAGAATGGCTCCTGAAGTTTATAGTTAGGAAGTTGCAGAGGGTTTAATTTTTGTTGTTGTTGTTATAATGGTGCAACCTTCCCTGTCCTAGAAAAGCTATGTTAAAAAAAGAAAAGTGTTTTGTTTTGTTTAATAAATCCTTGCTGTTACCCTGGAGCAGAGCTACCCATTCAAGAAGCAGCTCCATGGCAAATCAATACCAGCAGTTTGCAGCATCTTCCCTTCTTTACTTTTGGTTTGGACTATTATTTCAGCTCAGTTTGTCCATGACTTTTTTTTTTTAAAGATTTTATTTATTTATTTGACAGAGAGATACAGCCAGAGAGGGAACACAAGCAGGGGGAGGGGGAAAAGGAGAAGCAGGCTTCCCGCTGAGCAGGGAGCCTGATGCGGGGCTCGATCCCAGGACCCTGGGATCATGACCTGAGCCGAAGGCAGACAGAGGCTTAACAACTGAGCCACCCAGGCGCCCTGTCCATGACATTTTTAATATGTGCAGTGTATCTCTTCCAGTTGGCATTCTTAGAGGTGTCTCCTTATATGTCAACTTCAGTTGATCTTATAGAAACTGTCTTTCTCTTTGAAGTACCGTGCTCCCCTCTCCCCGCAGCTCCCTAGAATGATGTTGTGTATGCCACTTAGCCTATTGAAAATGAGGAGAGTGGACCTTGAAAATTTGGAGATAATTCATCTACCTGTTTTCATATGTTATAGAACAAAAGGATAGAAGCTTAATTTTATTTACAGTGATTAATGTAAGTGGAATCCATGCTTGTGTATAAGGCAGCTAGATGTATATTGACAGTTTTCATCCTACAGAATACAATCCTCACCACCACCACATAGGTGGGATTCCTACACGCTTGCTAAGTATCACCATCTACGTAGGAGTAACTCTTGCTTTGCTTGGCTTTTCTATAGGCCTCCCTGCATCATTACCACTGACTTCTTTAGACTCCTTTATGCTTTAGCAGAACCTGTAGCCTCAAAACTTCTAGTCTTCTATCTCCTCTTTTATCTCACATTATCATTTTTGTAGCAATTGACAGTAGGGCTCTTGATTATGCTTTCCTTTAAGGCTCTGGCTCTGAATACATAGAAACTTTGCCCTAATTGGAACTGTTTTCAACATACATACTATATCATTACCATGCATAATAGGCAAATGCGTTCAACAAATATTTGTTGGGCTTTCACTGTGTGCCAGGCCCTATCTTCATTTTTTAAAGACCCTACTGATTTTTTAATGCCCCCAAATCATAAGTTTTAAGTTTGGGTTGTTTGATTCCAACTAATAGGGTGATCAATAAATCTCACTTGAAAAGAAATACCCCCTTTATAACTATGGTGGCCATCCATTTGACCAACATATATTAAACACCACCCGTGTGTCAGGCCCTGTGTTTATTTGTGATATCTGAACATTAAAATGAATCTTGATGCTTTCTAGGACATTGCTTTTGAGTTTAGGGAAACTGGAGAATTTCTAAACTACCATTTAATTTTGTTTGTACTCAAAAGATGTGTTTGGTATTTTAACAGAGAGATCGTGATCTGGAGCTAGCTGCTCGAATTGGACAGGCTCTCTTAAAACGGAACCATGTCTTGTCTGAGCAGAATGAAGCCCTGGAGGAGCAACTGGGACAAGCCTTTGATCAAGTAAGTCTTTGATCAAGTATTTGTAGCATGAAATAATTACTTCTTGGGCAATGAAGAAATTTACTTTTCTGGGTGCCCCTGAAGTGGTAACAATAGGTAGGTAAATAACACCAGCACATGTTGACTTTGTTGGCAGCCATTGAACTAACCAGTAGAGAAATGAAATGTTACTGTACAGAGGAGTGCTCATGGGACTCTACCTTAGTCGGTGTAAAAGCCTATGTTCAGGACCTACCAAACATGAGGCACCCTGCTTAGATTCTAACACTTTTTCTTCAGCCCTTTATGTAGACTTTCAGTGTGATCTTATCTTAAATTTATTTTGAAAAAATAACCCTAAATTATAGATACCCAAATGAGGTATCTTTATTCAAAAACCCAAACAGAAGGAAAAGGTAAAGAAATTTATTTCATGCAATAAATATTTTTTAGTGAGAACTGATTTATTATTAACTTGAATGGTTGCATTTCAAACTTTCTGTAATTTGTTATTATCTGGTTTCATTTATATTTTATAAATGCATTATGTTTAATAACATTTGAACCTTTGCGTTGGAAATATTTATTTTCTAAAACTAAAGTTAGGAAGTCATGCAGAGTTATACTTAACTTAGAAGCTTAAAAGTATAAGCCTTTATTTAGTATGAGACTTTGAAGGGGAGGGGTCTATTCTGACACTTTGAAGGTTCTTCAGTTTTGTTTTGTTTTTAAGTGTGAATGTATCATTATCTTATATTAAATTTTCCTACATTCCTATTATATAGACTATAAGAACTGGCTTTTCGCCTAGTACAGAAAAAGCTATATTGGTTGAGTTAACACTCTAACATTATATCTTAGGAAGTATCTGAAGTTTGTTATTCTCTTTTTAAAACTTTAGTCAGTAAAATCTAGCAACTGATTTTATGATTTTATTTTATGGTAAGAAACAATTGCTCCATGAATTAAAAGCAGTATTACATGGAAATAATGCAAAATAAAGACCATCTTATAAATTGAGCCCTTTGATGTGCAGGTTAATCAACTGCAGCATGAGCTGTCCAAGAAAGATGAATTACTTCGAATTGTCTCTATTGCTTCTGAAGAGAGTGAAACTGACTCCAGTTGTTCTACACCTCTCCGGTTCAATGAGTCCTTTAGCTTATCTCAAGGTTTGCTGCAGTTGGACATGCTGCAAGAAAAACTCAAGGAACTGGAAGAGGAGAATATGGCTCTTCGATCCAAGGTACATTCTCACTTTCCCACTAATTCCCACTTTCCTTTACCTTAAAGGCCATAGATTTAGGTCCATGTAGCATTGAGGTAAAATATGGCATAACTAAGGATTTGCTATTGACATTCCAATTAGGGGGTGACAGCCAAGGCATGTGTATTTGCCTTTCCTTGTCGCTTAGATCCCATTCATTGACAAGTAGATAATAGCAAGCTGATAGATGAAATAGAGAAAGCCACAGCATGGAATATATATGTTAGGGAGTTTACACAAATAACTAAATAATTACAACTGTGATAAGAACTATGTTGGAAAATTACAGGGTTTCCTGAACTTGTATAATAGGGGATGGGGGGCGGGGGATCAAAGTCCTACTTAAGTAAGTGACACTTTACCTGAGGCTAGGGATTAGCGAGGCACCAGGGTGATGAGTAGGCTTGTGCAAAGACCCTGAGAGGAATGAGGGGGAGATGTTTGTCATATCCTGTCCCATATCTTTATTTTGGATAAAGCTTTTTGGATTTTATTTTTCCTTTTCAACTGGTGAACTTTCACCTTCAAATGAGAATTAAAGGTTTTTTTAAGTTAATACTGTAAAGTCATTGGAAGATATTATCACAGACTAATTTTTTTTTCTCGAAGGCTTGTCACATAAAGACAGAAACTATTACCTATGAAGAGAAGGAACAACAGCTTGTCAATGACTGTGTTAAAGAACTTCGTATGTATTAACACATTTTATTTTATACTTCTTGGGCAATTCTTTGGTGGTATGTCACCAACTCAGAAATTAAATCAATGGTTTCAGTAGAGGCATCTCAAGAAACAATTTTATTTTTTTTAAGATTTTATTTATTTATTTGACAGAGAAACAGCGAGACAGGAAACACAAGCAAGGGGAAGCGGCAGGCAGAGGGAGAAGCAGACTCCCCGTGGAGCAGGGAGCCCAACGTGGGGCTCAATCCCAGGACTCTGGGATCATGACCTGAGCTGAAGGCAGACGCCCAACAACTGAGCCACCCAGGCGCCCCACAAGAAACAATTTTAAATAGTTACTGAAAATCTTGGAATATCACATTGAGCCCACAACTCTAACAAAACATCATATGTACTTTTAAGAAATATCTTTATTTCAAATTGCCATCATCATTAAAGAAAGACCTAGACTTCTATTAGTTATAGCATGTTAGAGTGAAAGGAACTGAAGCTTTCATTTTGTCAATAAGGAAATAGTCCTATAGACAATATAGAGAATATGATTTGCCAAAGTTAGAAAACTGATAAGTGGCAGAGCCAGGGCTTAAATGATGGCATAAAACTTTACATCCAATGAGTATTTATTAAGTGCCAACTATGTGTCTGTAACAGGACATATTTTGGTTTGATATTATTAATTAAAAATAGTTTTTAAAAATAAATCAGCTAGAAAAAGGCTTCACTAGAGAAAGATACCTAATTTCTCTATAAATATATAACCTGTTATGTTGAAAGAGAAGATATGAAACATCATGCCAGTTCATCTGGGCTGTGGGCGTCAGAATGTGATAGCTTAGAATAACAATGTTAGAGAACCAGAAAGAATGTCAATTGAATCTTCTCCATCAGAACTCCATCATGCACCTCTTATGCCTTAAAAAACAAAAGAGGAAATGACTTGCCCAAGAGCTTAGATCCCAGTCTCCTGCCTCCTTATTGCCATCCTTTGAAATATTATAGACCTTCTGTCAATTTTAAAATAGTTTTATATAACACTGAGAAATAGTTTTGCCACTTGTGTTTGATGTCAGAGTTTTTATATGCAAGATTTCCTTTCTCCGTGGAATTCTAAAGGTTCTGTTTTATGTGCATGTAAGAATGCTAGGCTCTAGGGATTGCTTCTGAGGCCTTGCTCAGTTTGCTAGGTATCCTGGCAAGTCTCTCTTGTACAGAAGCATCTCATAGCTTTAACAGATTGTGACTGTTTTATTTGGAAATGTTCCTTTAGATTTGTTAAGTTTAATTTTCATTGCTTGTGGGAAATTATTGATGTCCCTGAAGAGTTCTCAAAGACATAAATGAAATGATGTCTTGGTACTTGGAAACATACATAATTCACCTATCTCTTTCCAGCCTTCTTGTCCTTCATAAAGAAAAAGATTGAGGCAAAACTTTTAGCTTGCTTGCCTTTATGAGTCACCTCTTTTAGCTTCATTGCCTCCTATTCAATTCTCAGCATTAGCTTATTTCAGAAGAACCTTTATTTTCTTCTACTCAATTATCTGGGTTTATTTTTTAAATTTATATTACAAATCTATTTGTGATATAGTCCAGTGCTTGTTACAAAATAGGATTTAGCCTACAGGACATAGTTTGCCAACCCCATCCTACATTTTTATTAATTTTTAAATTTCTCTTTTGTTTCCCAGGTGAAACAAATGCTCAGATGTCCAGAATGACTGAAGAATTATCCGGAAAGAGTGATGAACTGATCCGGTACCAAGAAGAGATCTCCTCTCTCTTGTCTCAAATTGTAGATCTTCAGCACAAAGTTAAAGAAGTAGGTTCATTCATTCATTCAGCAGATGTTTGTTAAGCCCTGGCCTAGTACATGCACTCTGCTAAATGCTAGATACATTAAGCAAAGTAAGCATGCTCCCTACCCCTTTACAGTACTTTAGTCTGACTGCTGGTATAGCCTGTCACTGTCACGAAATATATGAATAACTTCTTTCAAGTTACTATTTCTCTTTCAAGTGGGGTTAGATTTTCCTTAGAAAACTGTGATGTGGATTAGTGACTCATGCTCATTGACCTCTGAACACCTTGATTAAGATTTTGTATTCTGCCCATTTTATTGCTCTTATTTGGCTTTTGAAAGGTTAGCTTTTTATAGGCCTCTGGACCTTACCCCTGAGAGACACTCTTAAGATGTCTTTAAAAAAGGGAGAGTAGCCCATATTTTATATGGGAAGGCTCATTTTTCTCTTTTAATACGTTGTTAGCATGTAATTGAGAAGGAGGAACTGAGACTTCACCTACAAGCTTCCAAAGATGCCCAAAGACAGCTGACAATGGAGGTAATCAAATCTTCCTTTATCTTGTGTAATATGGGGCGGGGGGAAATAGTTTCTTTCATTTTCATGCTTAAGAATGATTAAAGGTGATTGCCAGATTTTAAATAACTACAAAAGAGTAAGATTAAATTATGAGATCTAAGAAGTAAAGCAATTTAAAGATTCTGTCCCTAAAATTAATAACATGAAAACATCTTTCTTGATTAAGAGAGAAAACCTTGTGTTTTGTAAGATTCTTTAGGAATATGTGACCCTTTTACCAGTCTACCTTAACCCAACAGTTTTTAAAATAATTTCTTATAATAAGATATGTCAGGAGAAACACCAACAATCTTTACTTCTTATCTATATAAAAATTCTATGTATTAGATATAATTTAGTGGTCACCTAGCATGCACTAAGAAACACCTGGCAAAATGAGTTATAAATGAAATTCCCAGGCACCATCCCCAAAAGTTTCCGATAGAGTAGTTCTACAGTAAGGGTTTAGAATCTGCATGATCCAGTCCACATACCACACTTGAAGTAATTTTTGAAGTTAAAATGTACTCTGAAAAATGCCTGGGTGGCTCAGTCGGTTGAGCGTCTGCCTTTGGCTCAGGTCATGATTCCAGGGTCCTGGGATCCAGCCCCACATCAGGCTCCCTGCTCGGTGGGGAGTCTGCTTCTTCCTCTGCCCTCTGACCCTCCCCACTGCTTGTGCTCCCTCTCTCTCTAAAATAAATAAATAAAATAAAATCTTTAAAAATATATATATATACTCTGAAAATTATTACTCATTTACCATGCTTGCATACCTAACTAGGTAAAGAAGATTCTGAAACAAGGGAGGAGAAACTACTTGTTTGGGATGATTGAGGACCCTGGCAACATATATAGTACTTTGTAGACTTGATCTTGTCATTTACAGACTTCAGAGTGACATTTAAAAATATGCACATCTAACATTATGCTAAACCTAACTTGACCCATAGCTATTATTCCTCTATAAGTTTTTTAAGATTTTATTTATTTATTTATTTGAGAGAGAGAGGGAGCACGAGCAGGGGGAGGGGCAGAGGGAGGGGGAGACGCAGACTCCCTGCTGAGCAGGGAGCCCAACGTGGGGCTCAATCCCAGGACCCCCAGATCCTGACCTGAGTCGAAGGCAGATGCTTAACTGACTGAGCCACGAGGTGGCCCCCTCTATAAGTTTATTTTAAGGATATGAAACATTAAATATTGAATTAACGGTTATGGCTATTTCAGCTACATTTCAGATTTTTAGGAAATCATGTTTATGATAGCCAAAACATCCCTAATTCTGATGACTTGAAATATATACACACACACACACACACATATACTCTCCTTGCTTAGTTTGTTTTAGAGCTTTTCTATTGAAATTATATTCATAAAGTTATCTAGCCCTCTGGATAAAATTAATACTTATCCAAATGAGGTTTATTTTCCCCATTGTCATGTTGAGAATATGATGAAGTACACTAATTACCATCCTTTTTTTCAGCTGCATGAGTTACAAGACAGGAATATGGAGTGTCTGGGAATGTTACATGAATCCCAAGAAGAAATAAAGGAACTTCGAAGTAGGTCTGGCCCTGCTGCTCATATTTACTTCTCACAGTCATATGGAGCTTTTTCTGGGGTGAGTTTTTCCTGGGAAATATGTTACTTGTTTAAGAAAACTTGCTTAAGATTAGATTGTTCTGAGAGTGATATGGTTTCTGGTGGTATAAAGTATCTTGAGAAGAGATAATATTGTTTGTCCTTGTTTCTGGAATTCATATATTGATTTAGGCCTTGATTTACATACTTACATCTATCTTAATACTCTATTGCAGCCTTTCTTCTAAGAGACAACCTTCCAGATTTATTGTAATATATGAGATGAACCCTAAGGAAATTAGGTTTAGGTCTGTGTACCATAGAGCTACTTAAAACTTGGGTCATCCTTACCCTAGGCTACATGCTACTTATTCAAAAAGAACTCTGAACATCTAAAACTTCGTTTCAACAGATCTTGAGTTTCTTGGTATATTTAATTTCAGTTAGAGTGTAAGCGCCATGAGGGCAGGATTCATGTTTGTTTAATTCATCAATATATAGTATTAAAGAAATTAATGAAAACTTGTGAGTTTATGCCAAAATTTGTAATATTGGTTCAAAGAATTATTTTAACAATCTAGTTCATAAATACTTATAAGCAATACTGTGAAATTTTTTTAAAAACAAACTATAAATTATAATAGATTTTTTTGAATAATATGGGAGCAGGATTTTTGTTTTTTAACTTTTTATTTTGAAATAATTTTAAACTTAGACTAACATTGCAACAATAATACAATAGTACAAAATAGCACAAAATAGTACAATAACTCTCATCCTTCATCTAGATTCCTCAGTACAAAATAGTATAATAGTACAATAGTACAAAATAGTACAAAATAGTATAATAGTACAAAAATTCTCATCCTTCATCTAGATTCCTCAGTTTTTAACATTTTACTACATTTGCCATATCGTTCTCTTATTTTTTTTCTGGACCATTTCACAGTAAGTTACAGATACACTCGATTAACTCAGTGTGTATCTACTAAAAATAAGGACACTCTCCTATGTAACCACACTACAACCATCAAAGTCAGGAAATTTTCATTGATATACAATATTACCATCTCACCCACAGAGCCCATTTAAATTTTGCCAGTGATCCCAACAATGTCCTTTGAAAGATATGTTGTATTTGCTTGTTTTAACAGGGGATAGTTCTTCTATCTCTGCTTGCCTTTCATGACCTTTGTAGAATGTCCTCAGTTTGGGTTTATCTGATGTTTCCTCATGATTAAATTCAGGCAATGTATTTTTGGCAGAAATAATGCCACGTTCTTCTCAGTACATTGTAATAGGAGGCTCACATTGTCTATTTATCTCATTACTGATGATGTTAATTAATTTTGACCACTAGGTTAACGTAGTATCTGCCAACTTTTCCCACTCTAAAGTTAATCAATGCTAATTGATAGTTAATCAAATTAATGTTACAGATTAACTTTACAATGATGAAAATTGGTAGATGTTACCTTAGCCAAGTGGTCAAAGTTACTCTTTTGTGGGAAAATACTACACTTTGAGACTATTTAAATATCCTGTTTTTCTCAGCAAATATTTATCCACTAGTTTTAACATGCAGTGATGGTTTATATCTGACTCAGTTATTACTATGATGATTGTCAAATGGAGATTTTCTAATTCCATCTTTTTTTGACATTAATTGACATTCTTTTGTCAGAGCCTTTCTGTGTCATTCATTCATTCATTCATTCATTGGGTCGGGGAGGCATAGTCTCTTAAGCAGACTATACACCCAGCATGGAGCCCGACACAGGGCTCTATCTCACAACCTTGAGATCATGACCTGAGCTGAAATGAAGAGTCAGACGCTCAACCGACTGAGCCATCAAGGTGCCCCATTTCTGCCTCATTTATTTATTCATTTGTTCATTTAGTTATGTCCGTATGGACTCTTAGATTCCTATTTTAGTCAGTGGATTATAATCTGTTATTACTATTTTTGATTATGATACTTAAATTGTTCCAGATATGGCCAGTGGGATCTCCTTAAAACTCATCTTGCCTTTTCCTGTCCCAGTCCTGGAATCAGCCATTTCTCCAGGGAGGTCTGGTTAGTTTTAATGAGGAATGATACTTGGAATTCAAGATCGGAGTCCTGTATATCCATTGCCACTAGAGTGTCATTACGTCTAGGCCCTCTCAGCAGATAGAGCTAGGAAATATATGTGTGTTCATACATACACCCACTCAAACACATCAGTATCTATGTTTCCATCCATATTTATGTTCATATATATATGAAAACATGAGTTCACACCAGTATCTCCAGTTCTAGTCATTGTCGGCTCAGCTTCACTGAGCATGGCAGCCATACTAGTTGAATCCTCATCTCTGACCAGGGAGAGGGGAAACTTGCTTATTTTTCCTTTAATGATTTTTCTACATTATAAAAGCTATACATGTTTATTATAGAAAAGTTAGTAATTAAACAAAGCAAAAAGAAATTGTGAAATACCATCAAATCCTGACCTCCAGAGAATCATTATTGGCATCTTGGTTTATAGCCTTTCAGACCTTTTGTTTTTTGTGTCTCCATATGTAATATTTTCTATTTATCATGTTGGTTTTTTCCACTGTTCTCCTGTAAAAATACATCATGAAAAAGAAGTTGGTTCTTGTTAAAAGTTATATTTCCAAAATGTCTCTTTTTTCCTTGCCTTTTGGCCTGTGACTATTTTCTTGTGTTTTCTTTTATTCCAACACCAAAAGTATTGGATTCTGGAGACTCTGTTAATTAATTTAAGGATAATTCATTTCTCCTAACAGGCTTCTTACATAATCATTATAGGCATCTCAAACTGTTTTTCTTAGGAATCTCTGGCAGCTGAGATTGAGGGGACCATGCGTAAAAAGTTGAGTTTGGATGAGGAATCTTCTCTTTTTAAGCAAAAGTAAGTACAGATCACATGTGTTATTACCCAAACACTGGGATGGAATTAAAAGGAAGCCACAGTCCTAAGTGATAGGTATTTTGAGATTCAGTTGTAAATCTGCTTACTATTCAGTGTTTTTTTCATAGTGCTCACATTTGTAAGAGTACTCTCTTGTTCTGAAGTTTATTTTCTAATAATTTCTCCTAAAGTTTAGAGGCTAGGCAAGGTGGCTTTATTTTTAATGAATTGCATATACATGTCTCTTCTAAAGCACTCCAGTGGTAGGCAGTGGCAATAATGAATGCTTCTGTTTTGACAGAGCCCAACAAAAACGGGTATTTGATACTGTCAAGGTTGCCAATGACACACGAGGCCGCTCCAACCCATTCCCAGCTCTGCTACCCATTCCAGGGTCCAACCGTTCAAGTGTCATCATGACAGCAAAACCTTTTGAGTCTGGTTTACAACAAACAGAGGACAAAACACTCCTGAATCAGCAGAGCAACTCAGAAGAGGTTTCAGAGTAAGAAACATAGATCATGGCACTGATTCTATAATTTTTATGGCATTGACATACCAGATTCACATACCTATATTCCAGCATTATTCTGTACTATTCCAATGTGGTTCTAGAACTGTCAGTTTTCATTCAGTAACAATGCCCTATAACATTATTTGTAAGACAGATCATTTGACTTCATAAAAGTTTTTAGAGTGAGAAGGCTACATTTAATTAAATATATTCAAAGTGGAACTTGCATTGAACTATAAAATTCTTTACTACTTTCTTCTTTAGTATGGCAAAGTTTGAGTCTAAATCTTCATGTTCTAAGTCAGATTTGTTTGACTCTGTTCGGTCATTGGCAGTTGTGCATAGCATCAGATGACACTTTCTCATAACCCATGCTGCTTTGGTGCCTTTAGGATAAATGATAAGCTTGAATACCTATGGAGGAAAAGTAGCTTGCTCTTAACTTCCTATTTGTTTAAACTTAGATTTTTTCCAGTTTTCATTAATTCATCTTATTGAATTACATATATATAACTAGAGTTAAACAGAATCCCTGGAAAGTCAGCAGAAGACTTTTGAAAGGTAGGTGTTTGGCATCTGAGAGAAATCTTTCCTAATGCAGAAATCTATTCTAGAACATACCAAATACCCAGTAAGTATTAGCTGTTACCAGTAGTAGATGGGGTAGTAGTATTCTTACCATTAGTGAACACTAATTGTGAACTAGGAGCTTAAGTCTTAGTTAATCCTGTCAACAACAACCCTGTAGGGAGGTACTGTATCTTTTCAATTTGTAGTTGAGGGAAGTGAGGCTTAAATCGTTTTGTAACTTGCCCATGGTCACTTCATAGGAGGGTATTGGTCACATTTCTATAAACTACAGGTTTGGTCCATGGATGCCATTTCTTTGGTTCGAAAATAAAAATATTTGTGTTGCCAAAAAAAGGAAGAAACCAAGAAAGAAAAAGATCCATCACCCTGGGTTTTCTTTTGCCTTTCAGTTTGTACCCACAGTAGCTTTATGTGTCAATACTATGTCATTGTACACAATTAACTTAGGAGAAGATCAACAAATAGATCTTTGTAGAATTCACATCTAGTAGCCAGGAGCAACTACAGCCTGGCTTGCTACTCTTTCTTTTGATATCAATTGTAAGAAACCTCTAATTTCAAAAATATTAAAAACTGAACAAATGTGTTCACAGAACTATGAAGATGTAGTATTTACAAATCTTGGGTTTTTTTTTAAATGTTCTACAATATTCATAGAGGATTTAATGGCCCAAAGCAAATTTTTTCACATTTTAATATTTTTGAAATTATTAATGTCATATCATAGTTTAATGGGTAGCATTTTTTTCTCTCTGAGTAGTGCATAAAATAAGAGTACCTCTTGTAATGAGTGGTATTATAGATTCAGTGCAATATGATAAAGTTTACTTTTCTGGCTATCCAAACTAAATTTATAGTTAGTCATACCTATAGTGTCATAAATTAAGTGACTACACTTATCATGGTGAGCATTGAGTAATATTTACGATTCTCAAATCAGTATATTATATACCTGAAACTAATATAACATTGTATGTTAATTATACTTCAATATAAAAATTAAATGAAATAGAAAAGTTAGTAAACATAAAATAAGTATATTTTTGCTTGTCTGAAGTTGCTTGAAATGATCTGTAAAAAATGATGTATTAGTGATTTTGGTTTATTGTTATTATTTCTGTATTCTTGATATCTAAGGAAAAAAACACTATGATTTTAAGATCAGTCTCTTGAACATTCACCATTGTAGAAAAGAGAAGTCTAGGTTGTGCTTATCACCTTTACAGATCTAGTCAGTGAGTGATTTTCCCATAGGAACGTTCAGAAGGTGGGTCAACCAGGACCCTCTGGAGATAGTGATTTGGCTACAGCACTGCATCGCCTTAGTCTGCGGCGACAGAACTACTTAAGTGAGAAGCAGTTCTTTGCTGAAGAATGGGAGCGGAAGATACAGGTTCTCGCTGACCAGAAAGAAGGGGTTAGTGGCTGTGGCACCCCCACGGAGAGCCTTGCCTCTCTCTGCACTGACCAGTCGGAGATCACAGACCTCAGCAGTGCCAGTTGCCTTCGAGGTTTTATGCCTGAAAAATTACAGATTGTCAAGCCCCTTGAAGGTAATAAATAAGTAAGGGCCATTCTTAAGCCATTTTGCTTATTAGCTTTTCCTTTCCTGGAATTGAACTTTGTATTGTAATTATAAGAGGACTATGTGCAGGAGATACCTTTATTACCCCAAACCACATTTGTGGGACAGTCCATTATGGTACTTACTTTGTGGAAAAAGAATGGAGAGATCTGCTTTCTCCAAGTCATCAGCCATCAGTATTTTTTTCACATAAATGTGAGGGAGGAGGAACATCCTTTCTTGTTCTCAGCTAAAATATATCATTGACAGCAGTTTTCATGGTAAAATAAATGGGATATGATAAATAAATAAAAATAATATAGATGTAATACTTCATCTCTACCTTCCTTTTTAAAAAAGAGTCCTTTACCCAGGAAGTGTCATTTACTTAGAGATATGTGTGTCTGGGTTGGTGTTTTGTTTGTTTGTTTTTTTTCCAGTTTTGATCATTTCCTTTCAGTTTCTGTTCCCTCCGAGGATAGAACTTGAATTCAAAATAAATTTGTTTTAGGGAATATTGATTACCTTCAAATGATTCTGTTATTATCATAAAGGAATCTGCATTAGACAAAATTTTGAGTAGGTAATCTATAAGGACCCTTCAAACTCAAGGATGCTATAAGTTAGTTTCATTCATTAATGATCAGTGCGGGTATTTGTCAGAGTTGCCCACTCTAGGGTGAAATGTCTATAGTGACATAATTAGACATTGCAGGTGCAGGTGCTTGGATGGTCATTCACCAGGGTTCTTAGACCAGAACCATGGGGATATATCCTCCTTTTAGGATCTCCTTCACTTTTGTACTCTCCCTGGAGAGCCTGGCGAATGGAGAGTCATGAGCAGGGTGGGGAAGAATACAAAAAACAAAACAAAACACTGAAATTCAGGTGTCTTTTGAGCTAGAAGCCTGGCTTTTCACTTCAAAGTTCATAAGCAAGGAAGTCTTGATTTTTGTCACCTGGCAAAATACAACACCACCTCCAGGGTGCATGTCTTCCTTTTCCTCACTGCCTCAACATCCTAGTTCCCATTAAGGGTGTTTTCTTGGCTTTTTCACTGCTGCTTTAGATGTCTTTTTAAACTTTACTTTTGAAACAGAAAGAGTATTGCTCATACCTTTAGCATCTTGTCAGTCTTCCACAGAGAACTTTATATAAATTTTACCAAAATATTAAGACTAAATAAGTAGGGCGCCTGAGTGGCTCAGTTGCTTAAGCGACTGCCTTCGGCTCAGGTCATGATCCTGGAGTCCTGGGATCGAGTCCCGCATTGGACTCCCTGCTGAGCAGGGAGTCTGCTTCTCCCTCGGACCCTCCCCCTTCTCATGCTCTCTCTCTATCTCATTCTCTCTCTCAAATAAATAAATAAATAAAATCTTAAAAAAAAAAGACTAAATAAGTAGTTTTATTATTATCCTTTTTTACACATATAATTTTAGCCTCTGTTTCAAGATTGAATATTTGTGGGAAATTTAAAACATGCCTTATGGGGTTTGGTTTTGTTTTGTTTTTGGTCTTTCACATTCAGGATCACAAACTTTGCACCACTGGCAGCAGCTTGCTCAACCAAATTTAGGAACCATTCTTGACCCACGACCAGGTGTCATCACTAAAGGCTTTACCCAGTTGCCCAAGGATGCCATCTATCACCTCTCAGATTTAGAAGAGGATGAAGAGGAAGGTATCACTTTTCAAGTGGAACAGAAACCTTCAGTATCCAAGCCAGTAATAGGAATCTTCCTTCCAGCCATTACTTCAGCTAGTGGTCCAGATACAGGTAAGAACAGTGCTTGGTGGGGTATGGTCCAGTAATTCTGCATTCTGACTTACAGGATGGCCACGTGACCACTTCCACTTAAATCTAACTCAGATGCACTCAGTCTTGAAGAAAAGAAAGATCTGTAATGACAGTGGCCTTGCTCATTCTTCCCACCTCTTAGCCAGCCTGTGTAAGAGAAAGATCAATTCAGTTAGTGGTTCATAAGCCTTTTGGGCTCAGGATTTCTTTATACCCTTAAAAATCATTGAGAATTCCAGACAGCTTGTCTTTGTGGGTTGTATCTATTGATATTTACCATATTAGAAATCAAAACTGAGAAATAATCAAAATATTTATTAACTCATTTAAAAATAATAATTACATGTTAACACAAATAATATGTTTTATGAAAAATAGCTATTTTCTTTAAGTAGTAAGAAGAATAGTTTTGTTTTACAATTTTACAAGTCTCTAATTTATGGCTTAAAAGAAGATGGCTGGATTTTCATACAGCTTCTACATTCAGTCTGTTATAGTATGTTGCTTTGTTCAAAGAGTATGAAGAAAATGCAGGCCCACACAGAGGTATAGTTGTAAAAGGAGAGAGTATTTTAATAGCCTCTTCAGGTATTTGTGGATAATTCTTTGATATTACACCAAAACTTGGTGAGTGGTAGTTTCTTTAAGCTTTATAATATGGAATCCAAAAACCTATCAGTGAACTTTTCATACTTAGTTACAAAATCTGTTGGTCTTTCCTACACTTTGAATGCATCTTTTACCCATCATGCACTGGTCATTTGGAAAATATTGGTTCACTGAGTTATGCAGATCTTCCAAATGTTAACATATTTCATTATATAATATATTAAAATTACATTAATATCACCACATATCTCATCAGATAAATCTTTTTAGTATTAGGAAGCTTTAAAGCTCGCAGAGGTGGATATGAGTTCTCCAAAACTCTAATTTTCACTTGAAACGTAAAATTTTGTCACTGACAGCAAATCCTGTAAGCTGTTTTTGTTGAAGAGATAGGCTCACTACCTTCATTTCCAAGAAAATTTCTGCCAGATAGCCAAGTCTGAATAAGCGTGGTTAGTTGTTCTTCCAAGTAAAAATGGTGTTCCTTGAAAAAATTTCAACTCAATGGCCCATGTGCTTTTCCTTTAGATAACCATTGTATCTTGGTATGCAGCAGAGTGCTTAATGCCCATTTCCCATTTAATCACAGAATATTAAGATACAGGGTCAGGAATCTGGCTTTTTTTTTTTTTTTTTTTACTATTGCAGGTGGGCAGCAGTGAAGAATATTAGCATAGCTTGGTATAGCTTGGTGCCATTGCCTTGATTTGTGCTAAGGAGTCAGCAGTTTTGCTCAGCATTGCTTTTGCACTAATAGTGCAAACGCCAGCCCAGTCAGAAAGGCAAATAACATCTTAGCATTGCTATGAGAGTAGTTTTGACCTGTGACCTGTGGATTCGCACAAGGTCTGCAAACCACACTTTGAGAACTGTGGAAGTAGATAGTTTGGCTAGAAAGACTGAATGACTAGATCTTGTTGGGGGCAGGGCAGGGGGGAGGGGAGATTAATGTATTTTTTCAGAATATGGTTTTCTCTTATTTCTAACCTAGTTTTAATCCTTTTGAATTACAGTTTTAAAGTATTGAAGGATTCAGCTATATACTAGCCAGTTGATACTAATACAATATTTATGTATATTTCATTTCCAAATTTGGTGATTTTTGTACAAAAGACCCTTTACTAATGCTTAATTAATAAATAGTGATGAATGTTTTACATTATTAACCTAGTCTTTCAATTTTGTTTGATTCCATTAAAATCTCTACTTCAGTTGCAACCTCAAACCCAGGCAAGTGTCTGTCATGCACAAACTCGACATTTACCTTCACCACCTGTAGGATATTGCATCCTTCTGATATCACTCAGGTTACCCCCAGGTAAGGGGTCTGGGCAATGTGAGGCCTAAAACTTATTTCCTTAACTATGTTTTCATGAATTTATTTTAAAAATTACTTTCATTTTAACTCCCAGAATTTTAATTAATGTTCTGTGATCATTTGTCTTTAGGATATTTTCACATTATATCTTCTCCTTTGATCATTATAACTCTTTGAAGTTGGCAGGGCAAGTGAGTATGTATCGTGTAAGTGAAAAACTGAGGCATAGTTTAGGTAACTGGTCCAAAGGCAGAGAGGTAGCAAATGACCCAGCTGCAGCTGCACCCAGAGTAAGCTAAACTGCAAGATTTGAGGGACCAGTCCTCAACACAAGACTGTCCTCACTTGTTTTTTTGTGGATTTTTTTTTTTAAGATTTTATTTATTTGTCAGAGAGAAAGAGAGAGCACACAGGCAGGGGGAGCAGTGGGCTTCCCGCTGAGCAAGGAGCCCGATGCGGGGCTAGATCCCAGGACCCTGAGATAATGACCGGAGCCAAAATCAAGCGCTTAACCAGCAGAGCCACCCAGGTGTCCCAAGGCTGCCCTCACTTCTGACACCACTTGCAAGTTCTGCAAGTTCAGGGTGTTCCCAAAACCACTCTGGTTTGATAATTTGCTAGAAAGATTCACAGAACTCACTGAAAGCTATTAGGCTCATGGTTGCTGTTTATTACAGGAAATGGATACAGGTTAAAATTAGTCAAAGAAAGAAACATAGGTCAAAGTCTGGGAGGGTTCCATGTGAAAAGTTTTCCTTGTCCCTAGGATTCGTTACTTTCCTAGCATCAATGTGTGATAGTATATGCAGAGTATTACCAACTAGGAAAGCTCATGCAAGCCTCAGTATCCAGATTTTTTGTTGAGGTTTCAGTGCATAGTCATGATTGATTGATTGATCGATTGCCCATATAATTGAGCTCACCTCCAGGTCCACTGACCTAAAGCCCCCACCCTAAATCACATGGTTGTTCTCTCTGGCATGGTTAACCCCCACCCTAAAACTACTGGGTGTGGCCAGCTCACCCCAAGATCTAGTATGGCCAGCCTTCATCCCAAACAAAGACACATGTATCAGACACGGCATAGATTACCTCCCAGAAGCTGAGGGTAAAGGCCAGAACCCTCTGGGCGAGGCCAAATTATTTACTATACAGGCTACAACATGCATATTCTAACACATAGTTGAGGGATCTTATTAAGCCATATTGCTGCTATTTCTGTCCTACCAATTCGCAAAAGAATCTAAGGTAGTTTTCAAAGGTACATACAACATTGGGATAATGTTAACTAGGAGTAGTGAAGAAAAATGAAGCATAGAGGAATCAAGAGTAAGGATATAAAATGGATAGAAGAATAAAACTAGTATACTAATTATAACATAAAGTCTTATATACTTGCTAATGTGAACCATGTATTTGAGTCTTAACTTTCTAGCTGCCAGTGTGGAAGGAAATAAGATTATGATTCACAATGTATGTGTAGGAGCAAATCAATTATTTAGGGAAACATTGGGTTTCATCCAATAAAGATCTTAGTAAAGTCTGTAATGAACAGGCATAGCTGCAATTTTTCCACATTGTTCTTATGTCAACAAGATAATAAGTTTTATAAAATTCGTTTTTGAGAGAACTCTCAATACAAGTTGATACCATATGAAGTATACAGTTTGGGAAAGGACAGTCAGTTCTACAGTAAAGTAGGAACAGGGAGGTGGGAAACTGAGAGTATAGTCTATAGACTGCATCAGATTAGAGGTTCTTAGTTGGATTTGTTTAACCACGGAGTCAAACTTGTTTGTTTCTTTCATACCAGTTGGTGCTTTAGAAAGTTTATTTATTAATGAATTATTAGTTCTAATAATAACTTTGTTCATAATCATTAAAAATTTTGTTATCTTGATATACTGAGTATTTTGTGTTAAAGTGAAAGTTTATCTATTAAATACTGGTAACATTTGCCAAGGGAGGGAAATTGGCTTAAAGAAGTCCCTTCTCCGCTCTATCACCATTTCCCTGAGTACATGAGTTCTTAGCATTTTTTTTGTTTGTTAGTTTGTTTCTAACAAAACATAGAATAATAGTTGTCAAAGCTTTTAATTATTTTTTTTTTTAAGATTTTATGTATTTGACAGAGAGAGACAGTGAGAGAGTTAACACAAGTAGGGAGAGTGGGAGATGGAGAAGCAGGCTTTCCGCTGAGCAGGGAGCCCGATGCGGGGCTTTATCCCAGGACCCTGAGATCATGATCTGAGCCAAAGGCAAATGCTTAACGACTGAGCCACTTAGGCGCCCCTTTTAATTATTTTTATGTTCCCAGAAACACATGTTTGAAGTCAAGGTTAAGAAAAATTGGTTTCCTGGGTATCCTTATAATACTATTGTTTGGAATTAACATTCTTGAAAATAGAAATTTTAACAATTTCAACTTTTATGAGTTCTTGGTAATATAAAATTGAAAGATTAAAAAGAAAACAATTTCTCCTTAGAAGAACATCTTAGGTTTAATATAAAAGATTGTATTTTCTAGAAAAGTTGGAGAATTATTTACTCATGGATTATTGTTTTTGGTGTATTTCACTTTATGGAATGAATATATAAAAATAAAAATTTCTGGTTACTTTCTGTAATATTTTCTTTGATTTCTATCATAAAATTTATTCATATTCCCAAAGACACATATTTTGAGTTATAATTTAAGAATAAAGTTATCTAAGAGTAAACTTTCTCATATCCTATGAAAAGAAGTATGTTTCAATGAGTTAGTGACTTAGTTATAAATTACAAATAATTAACCAGTCACTGAAGTAACATATCAAAATTCTTATTGTTCAAATCTTTCCAAAGAGTACAGTTACTGATGTATAGCCTGTTGTTCTATATTTACTACGGATAACTAATGTAAATGCTGACTTGGAAATTACTTTTTATTTTTAACACTCTCTCCTGCTCTTTCTTTCTTTCTTTCTTTCTTTCTTTCTTTCTTTTTCCCCCAAAGCCCTGGGTTCCCTTCGTTATCCTGTGGAAGTAGTGGTAGCAGTTCATCAAACACAGCGGTGAATTCTCCTGCTGTGTCCTATAGACTCAGCATTGGCGAGTCTGTTACCAACCGACGAGATTCCACTATAACCTTCAGTAGCACCACGAGCTTGGCCAAACTTCTACAAGAGCGAGGCATTTCTGCTAAAGTGTATCACAGCCCAGTTTCAGAGAGCCCCCTCCTCCAGCCTATCCCTAAAGCCCTGGCTATTCCTTCTACACCACCAAATTCACCATCTCACTCACCTTGCCCTTCTCCTTTGCCCTTTGAGCCTCGAGTTCATCTCTCCGAAAATTTTTTGGCCTCCCGACCAGCTGAAACATTCCTCCAGGAGATGTATGGTTTGAGACCTACCCGGAACCCTCCTGATGTTGGCCAGCTGAAGATGAACTTAGTGGACAGGCTGAAGAGACTGGGGATAGCCAGAGTGATCAAGACCCCGGATGCACAGGAAAATGGAAGAAGCCAAGAGGCAGAAATTGGTCTTCAAAGACCTGACTCTGCTGTTTATTTAAATTCAGGTAGCAATTTATTGAGTGGACTGAGGAGGAATCAGAGTCTTCCAGTCATGATGGGTAGCTTGGGCACCCCAGTTTGCACAACTTCACCGAAAATGGATATCCTGAAGGAAGACTGAAGTTCAGCAGTTAACTGACCTCTTAAACAAATTAGCACATGAAGGATAGATTTGCACTGATACATGTAGTCTGGTCTGACTGAGAGACAAGGAATGTTGCAGATGGCTTGTGAATGTGGAAAGGGGAAAGTGGAACAATGGAAACAGAATTGGGACGAGGCCCTAATGAATGAGGTCTAATAAATTGAAAGTATAAATGAATGGGTCATGAGTGTTTGGAGGCAGAAAAGGAAGAAAAGTTTAATATACTCCTTCAGTTGGATGTTCCTATCTTGAGAATAAAAAGTGACTGGACAATAAATTCAGTAATATCAAAATATACCAGTTATACTGAACTTGCTAGCACATTTACTTCTAGTAAGCAAAAGCAGCAAGAACCCAGCTTAGGAGATGGGAAGAGGAAGGGAGCAGCTTTGATCATTGCCTATAAAAAGCTGAACTGCAGGGTTGCCAGGCTAAGCCCCATCTGTTACTGAGGCTTTTATGTTTTACCCTGTTAAGGTCTGCTTAAATTACATATCCATCAAATGGTATGTACACAGCAGTAGCAAACAAGGAATTTTATCTTTTTCATAAAATCAGAGTAGTGGAAACTCCCTTTTGCTTTCTGTTTTCAAGCCTTTGAGCCACTGGGAGCCCAAACACCACCCACATTCCTTTTGTATTTGTGATTAATAAAGGTTCATTTTTAAATTTGTATTTTTATACAATACCTCCAAAAAACCAACATGAATTGGGGGGTAGGTAGGATTTACTTAAGAAGGAAAATATGGGTAAGTTGGAACCAAGGAAACTTGTTTTCAGAATATTTCTTTTAGGTAAGGACAGTGGCCAAGGCATGTGAACACAATTACATGTCTTTCAAATTTCCTTGGAGGCTGGAAGGGGTTAAACCAGAAGTGCAATCAATAGGAATTAGGGAATGTTACGTATTTATGTCTGTATGTTTTTTGTAAGGAAATTTACTTGCAACTAAACTTTTTCCAAAGTGCTCTGCATATTTTTCAGTGAAGATGAGATGTATTTGCACAAAAATTCTCAGGCATATTAAATTATTATAAGCTAAAGTAAAACCCAGGTGCTTGCTTTGAGATTGTGGTTTTTTTAAATGTAAAATTAAAACATCTGTCTTTTTCTTGATATCTGTAGAATTCGAGAATGAACATTTTTAATGGGAAAGTCAAAGCTTCTGCTTTTTTTCCTGGAATTCCTTTTTTTTTTTTTTCTTTACAAATTCTGTGAAATGGCAAAGTGAAACTCATGGGTTAGGTTTCAGCATTCAGCAGTGTGACACAAGGCTGTGAATTGGGAAGAAACAGATCTGTTTCGCTGAGTGTTGCTGATCAAGGTCTGTTCCTCAGATCACATGGCTTTCTCTACACAGTACAGTTCAGAAAAAAATACCATTATACATTATATGAAAGGCATGATGGAGAAGAAATGAGGAGGGGGCTAATTATTTTGTTTTTGAAAATGGAAGGCATATTGATCTTTTTGGAGCTTAATTTGCAAATGTTTTGCTCATTTCTTCTGACTTAACTGAAAGGCAGTTTTCTGAAGAATTCTTGATGAGAGTTTTGCTCCTTTCGTTCCCATTGATACACCTATTCTCATGCCTGAAGAAGGGTCCTTCCTTTCCCCTCTTGAGGTGCCTCTCCTACCTGAAGAAGCTATGTGCTCAAAAGGGTAGAAAAACCAACATGAATGCAGTAGTAAGAATGTGTGAGTTTACCATGCTTTTTAGAAGCTTAATAAAACTTTTCTAAATTTCTTAAAAACAAAAAGTGAAAGTGTCCTCTCCCCTTCTGTCAGTCATGCTGAGGTCATAACATGTTCAGAAAGGATTCCAGCAGGTCCATGAGTGAATGTAAGTGTCCCTGAATGTGGTAGGCACTAACCAGAAGAATTCCTTGTTTAAAGATGTTTAAATTTCCAGAATATTCCAATTCACTTTTTAAAAAAATAGTATTTGGTTTCTACTTCCTAAAGTGACTCTGGGGTGCTTATTTTAGCCAATTCTTAAAGCTTTTTATTTATTCTCTAAGAAAGTAGTCTTCCTGTTGCCAGTTTCCAAGAAACATCAGGAAGTAGGAAAATGGAGGGCCAGAGAGTAGTACAAAGTGTTAAATTATCAGATTTGTGTATCTTATATAAATAGCTATAAACTAAGCTAGATTTTGGAGTATTCTGTATAATTAGTATACTTTTTTTTATAACTGATGTTAAAATGATCGTTCTGGAGGCAGGGTGAGGGCATATTCACAGCCAAATAAGCACATCTAATTAAAAGAGACCTAGACTTAAGTTTTTGAAAATTGGACTGATGTTACTGTTCTGCCAGAAACATAATGATTGTATCCTGGCACGTGCTTGTCTCTAGAAATGAATCTGTTTGAAATTGGGGTTTGCTGTTTTTAAGATTCCACCTAAAATCATTTTTGGTACAGCCTGAGAATCTCTATTATAACAAAGCTGTGCAAAGTATAGTAAGAAGACCTGGAGCCTTGTAGGAAGTTTCTCTTAAGCTTATCTGTTATACTTTCGTCCTGTCACATTTTAGTTTTTCGTATCAATTGTGTATATACTTTTTGCCACTATAGGAAACTCTAATCTTTTTTTTTCTCCTTCATGAAGGTTCTCAGTGATTTTACCTCAGGTATTTCTGAGTATCCTACTATCTATAGGAGGGATACCTTTGTGAGCTCAGAATGACAAGTTTTCCTGAATTATGATGATCCCAAATCTTATGTAAATAGCCTTAGGCTTGGGTCTTAGGGAGAACTTAATGACCATCGTTAGAGTAGTTTTTTTAAAAGATTTTATGCTTTATGTCCTTGACTTGACATGAATGAACAGACTTTGGCAAAGGGAGGAAATAAAGAGACAGCTCATGACAAGAGCTTATTCTCTAGAAAAGGTGTATTTTATACAGTATTCAAAGTCTGTTCTTTTGTTCTGACCATTCTAGTACATAATTAGTACTTGTTGGTTGCTCACATTGACTTTAGACATCTGGACCGAGAGCTCTCAAGTGTTTAATGGTCCACTCGTTTGATGTCAGATGCCCACAGGCCTATACTCCAAGTGTAACACCGCAGTGTCTACACCCGGGTGGTTGCATTGCAGAGCCCAGCTGCCTAGGGGTTGTGGTTCAGTGCCCTCTGGGGCCGCCAGGGAAATACTGTTGTTGGATATCTAGGGCTTGATTTTGTCAAATAGCTCTTTGTGCACCTACCTTTGCTTTGTCAAATGTAAATCAGATAATAAACATGAGTATCTTCTTAAATTTTTATTTGTCTGTCTGTGTTTTTGTCCCAGTTTTCACAGATTATCCTGCATTGAGTCTTTCCTTTCCATTATGTTGGTTTTGGTAGAGAAAACAACCTCTCTTTGCCAAACCAATGCAAAACAAATCAACAGTAGTCATAAGTAGTAAACAGGTCTTACTGTATTTTCTGAGATATATTTTTCAAAACAGAGGGGATGGAGTGTCTATATTTGCCATATTGTTTCCTTAGCAAAATAACAGCCGCAAAAAGTCATTGTAGATCTTTAATTTGGGAAGACTGAGAAAATGTGAAGCAATTTTTTTCCTAAACTCCACAATTTACTGTTGATGCTCTTAGCTATTTAGAAACTGTTTTCGGCAGACAGTCTCCCCTTTGCTGTCCTGCCTGCTACTCCCTTGTGGTATAGTCCGTAAACTTCTCTCTCTTTTGTTCTGCCTTGGGTGAATTATTTTACCACCCACACCGCTGGCCCCTACCCAACTGGAGCGCCCCACATTTGGTCTTCCCAGATTCTCCAGGAATTTCTTGGAACTTTCCCTCAGTGGACCGACTCTAGTAGTCCTTGGGAAACTGAGGATCCAAAGCCCCAGGGGGAACCCACCAGACCGCCCTTGCCCGAAAGGGTGAGGGATTTTTCCTTCTTGCCCTTCAGAGGGACTCCTCCCTCCCTCTCCTTTCTCTTTTCAGCCCCTTGGCGCCCTAATCCTAGTACTCCTCAGAGAACTGAAGATCTCTGGCCAGGGCAACTCCCTGATGTGGTCTAAAGGTGTGAAGGTGAACAGGTTGGACTGCTGGTGCCCATGACAACAAAGGACCCCTTTCCCTTCCTCTCCCACTCCATCTCCTTTGAGGTCTCCATTACCATTGTGCTTCTTTTGGAATTCCCTCCTTCCCCTTTTCCTTTCTTCCCATGGATCCAGCTGCCATCTTCATCTATAGGCAAAACGCATTCCTATGCATCTGAGTGGTGCATACTTTCCACTCCTTTTTCCAACCCGGTCTGGCCACCTGGTATCCAGCTTTCCCTGTTGCAGAGGATGTCCCAGCAGGGATTTCTATTGCCATTTGCTGCAACCCTCCCCTTGGTAGAATGCCCCAGTAGAGTCAGTCACCCCATATAAGGTTCAGTCCTTTTTCAGGTCAGTGGGATGCCCTGACCGAAATTGCAACCATGAGTCAGGAACTCCATTGCCTTTGGTGGGATGCCCCTTTGGGATTCAGCAGCCAGTCTTTCCCACTATGGGACAAATTCCCTCTTTTCCTTTGGACTCACTCTTGGGCTATTCTTAAAAAATGGAACAAATGTGATGCCCAAGGCCTGAGAAAAATGTCTCATCTTTTTTATGTAATGTTTCCTGGCCTTAGTACAAACTCCCAGATTAAGAGGTACGGCCCCTCCACGGAACCCTTTCTTATTATTTTCCAGCTTGACCTCTTTTGCCAGAATTCCTCCAAATGGTCGGGAGTCCCACATGTGCAAGACTTCATGTCATTGTCTCCAAATCCTGACCTCTGCAAAATCTGTAGAATGTGTTTTGCTAGGTTTCATGGCCATCTGATCCTGCAGATAGCTATCAAACCTGAAACTTTGAGGTTTTGCTGTTAAATGATAAGTTGGATTGAATTCATTTGATAGCTAAGTCATTTCCAAATAAACTCCTAAAGCATTGGTTAATGATGTAGGTCTGTCTCCTTTTGACTTCTTACTGCAGAGAAACTAAAAATACTTGGGTCTGTTGGAAAACATTCTTTGTGTCTTATTGAAAGATTATACTTTGAAAACTGCATGTGCCTAAAAATTATGAAATGTATTCATAAATTTGCCAATCTAAAGAATTTTGGTGTAATAGTTCACAATTGGTTACTTAGTTTTCACTGGAGACTAAGGTTCTAAGAGTTAAAATTTTGCTATATGTAATTAAGACTGATGGAAATGATAAGGAAAGCAACTCCGTATGTAAGGAGACGTGTAAGAAAGGTGTCAGGAATGAGAACACATTTTTGTTGAGGGAAAAAGAAGGTAATTTTGTCCCAAAATGAGACTACTTATGTGGAGAGAAAAGACTTAGGACAAAATCTGAATACGAAAGAAAGCTGTAGGTCTGTGAAGGGAAAGCTCTAGAAAAGAATTTTATGTGTGGTCAGGATGAACTAAGATTGAAACAAATGGTACCTGAACCCTCTGAAATTCAGAAACTCTCAATGAGTATTCTTTGTTCAATGGCAATTATAATTATTTGCATAAGTCCAGTGAGAATCTATTCTTCTTGTAAAAAGACACCATTGGAATCATTGGTTATATTACCAAGGTTTTGACTGGAATGTCATATTTGAGAGAGACATGCATAGACTCAGATATAACCAGACAGCTGTAAGGAATTAAGGTTGACTTTATGAAGCCAATAAAGCCCCTTGGAAATGTTGGTCTGGTAC